CAGCTATGACTCAGTTAAAAATGTTCACCCAAATTGCAATTCTAACTTCTTTGTTGAAGAGGAACCAGCAGCTTCTGCACAGAGTCCTGATTTAACAAGTGGTCCAATGGATCCAAGCACATATGGGGAGATCAGAACCATACTGGAGAAGTGAGTTTAACTATGGTTTATTTTCCCATTGTTATTCTACCACTAACTGGCCCGAGGCCAGAGCATGGCAACCATTGTTTCCCGGTTCTTTTTGTGTCCTCCCTCCTCATCTTCCACACATCCTTGCATCCTTGTTAGGTTTGCATCACTTTCCTCACATGTAATACCTAGATAATGGTGAACATTCACACCTCTCACAATTTGCTAAAATCAAATGAGTTAACAAATGTGAAGTTGTTTCCAAATGAGAAAAGATTTTTATGACTGTCACAAATGCTTTTTTTAAAACAGCAACTATTTTGTAGAACAATAGAAACTTGGTGTTGAGAATTTTGTCACATGCCAACTGAATATATGAATCTATTTTCCAACACCCTGCATTCATTCATTCATCAAACACATTTAAAGCATCAACTGAGATCTATACATTAGGGAAGGCCCTTTCCAGCGGCCTCTAGTTGATAACTTCCACGGACAAGGAACTCATTATGTCCTAAATGACCTCATTCCATTTAGGGTAATGCCAATGTCAAAAACTTTTCCCTCTCTCTGTAGAAAGAGCCCCAGTAACCTCAGCATTAGCTAAGTTCTGGGCATGAAAAGTGAAGTATCAAGTGGTGTTTTGCCACTAGCTGGCAGATATGAGCTCATACCAGAAGTGAGAGGGAACAAGGCAGAGTAGTGTCTTCCTGGTCTGGGTACTGATTAAATGTCCTCAGAATAGCTAAAAGAAACAATGAGATCTTCACAGAGGGAACAGAACTTAAATGGAGCCTTAAATGTCAGCCAGAACATGAGGAGTAGGAAGGCACTTTTAGATGAGATGAACAAAAGGAACAAAGGCTTGGCATGCACTCATGGGGAAAGGGAGATGTGTTTGACAATAGTCAAGCGTCCTGAAATCTTGACCAAGGAGTTTGAAATTGATACAGTGGGAACCAGGAAGCCTCTGAAAGTCACTGAAGCGTTATAAGTTTCATTTTCACAAGAGTACTTTTTATTAGAACAACAAATGGATGTTCTCCTTCACCCAGAAGAGGAGAGTAGAGACAGGATAGTAAAGAATGGGTCTAAAGCAGGCTTCAGGGCTTCAGGCAAAAGGCCAGTTCTAGAGAAGAAGGCTTTGAAACAAGAGCAAAGCCTGTGGTTGTTGCATCAACTGTTACTTGTTTTACAAATTTGTGTGAGGGAATTGCCAAAAGCAAGCGGTCTCTGCTCACCTGTTCCTTTGTGCAGTGTGGCTTCTGAGGTTTGTGTAAAGTTATTTGTTCTCTGCACTTTGCCAAGAGGGATACAGTATTTTTACTAGCTCCATACTTCAGGAAACATAAATCCTATAGCACAGACACTACAAATAAATGAGCTCTTTTAATTAATCTTTGGATTTAATCCCTACATTTCTTCCTGAACATGCCTTACAGTGAGATTTCTCTGAGTTGGAGTTGGGACCATTCTCACATTCCACCACGTAGCTCATTCAGGTGGGTTTCATGTAAGTTGCCTCTAAGTAAAATGACTGAGGATAGTTTTCTTGGATACTGTGATATTCCATGAACAACATGGTAGCCAGTTTTAAAAGCTGCTAAATCAAAGAGGCTACCTTGGTCTGGGACACCCTCATTCAGGTAGACGTAATCTTAGGGAGATGGGTGTTAGAGACAGAGATTGACCAAGGGGGTTTGCTGTCTTTTGATCCCCTAGAGAATGCAGCGTTAAGCCACAGGTTATTACCTGCTCAGCTTCTTCTCCCCACCTGTGGTTTCTGGTCTTCATTCATCCAGATGGGCCTTAACCTGCAACTGTGATCAGGATATTTGACCTTTGGGGACAGCTAAAAAAGGGGGCATCAGTGCCTCCAGCTAAGCTTCCACCAGCACTTGAGAAGAAAAGAGGTGTGTTTCCCCACTTCTGATTACTTCCTCAGAGTGAAGGTTGAGGCTTAGTGAGCCACCTAAATTATAACCCCTTACCTCCCTGGACAGGTGTAGGACTGGTATCCTATTACCATTATCTTACCTCATTTAAGGCATGAAGGAGTGTGTTTTTACTTTTAATAGAACAGAAAGGCAAGCAAGCATAATTTTAAAACAAAGAATGACTTATAATAAAGATCTTCAGACATTACACATTCTCTTTCTTTGTGAAAAATTCATAGCTTTTCTTCTGGGAGGAAATTCTTGTTGCATATCGCTTAAAAGCAGTAGTCAATAGTCAATTTAATAATGTTTCAGGTTGCCAAGAGAAACGAAAGACATATTACATGGTGATGTCATAGAATCTCAGCATGTTTCCAAAGATACTCCTTAAACTTGTTCCAATCACCAAATCTGTATTTCCTAGATAAGTTATATTCTCCTCTTTTTTTGTTATAAACAATTATTTGTTGAGCATCCTCCATATGTATCTTCACCCAGAAGAGGAGAGTAAAGACAGGATAGTAAAGAATGTGGGAGAAATGAAGGCACTGAATGTGCAATCCCTGCCCTCAAATGTTAAAGGGGCACATCTTAGTTTGTTTTGCACTGGTATAACAGGACATCACAGACTGGGCAATTTAAAAAGAAAATAAATTTATTTCCTCACAGTTCAGGATGCTGGAAAGTCCAAGATCAAGGCACCAGCATGTGATGTGGGTCTTAATACTGTGTCCTCACATGATGAAAGGCAGAAGGGCTAAGAGAGATGAACCCCATGTCTTCACATGGCAGAAGAGCAGGAGAGAATCCACTCTCGCAAACACTTTTTATAAGGGCATTAATTAATTCATAAGGACAGACCCCTCATGACCTAAACACTTCCTAAAAGACCCCACTTCCCAACACCGCTGTGCTGGGTATCAAGTTTCCAACACATGAATTTCGGGAACACATTCAGACCATACAAGGGCATATGGGTGTGAAGTTGACTGCAAGTAAAAATGAGTAAATGGTGGGAAGATTGGGGAGACTGCTGCCCACCCCTTCTTTCAACAGAGATTCTGAATTTCAACAACACAAGGGGTTAGCTCTGGGTTATGGCAACAGAGTAGGAATATCTCAGAAGTAGTAAGTAGTACTCATACCTTGCTCTAAACCAGCCACTGTCTCAGGCAATCTCATAACCAACTGATGCCAGAGCAACTCTTTCCCTCTACATTTTACAGATTAGGATGTGAAGACATGGAGATTTTTAGAACTGTCTAAGGCCACATATGTATAAAGTGGAGAATCAGAATTCAAACTGAGGGATCCAGCTTCTGATCTCATACCTTTGTTTTCCAGGACAAATTAAAGATGTCATGAATATTTTCAAGTGTGGCTCTATCCAATAGAAATATAATATGAGCTACATAGTAATTTCAAGCACACTCATAACCATATTAAAAATAATAAATACTGAAGTTAATTTTAATAATGTTTTATTTACCTGAATTTATCTATTTTCATTTCTACATGTAGTCAACATTTTAAAACTACTGGGGAGATATTTTACAGTCATTTCTCTATCCTTAGTCTTCCTAATCTGCTGTTTATTTAATACTCACATCTCGATTTGAACTAGCCACATGCCAAGTACTCAGTAGCCACATGTGGCTGGTGAACAGCACAACTCTGGTGCATAATGAGAGGAGTGAGATAGCAAGAATGCTGATTTGACACAGAGAGAGAGAGGGAAAGAGATAACACAGACTTCGATCCAAATAGAATAGGAAGAATAACACAGACTTAAATAATTTTTTGATGCTTGTTTTCATCCTTGAGCAATAAATGACAAATTCTATCTATGGAGCATAATCGTAGACTCTGTGTCCCAGAAGACAACAACCGTAGATGATCAGAGATCACAACCTTCAAGCTTCTAGTTACTACATCTTAACAAGATTCCCTTTGATAACATCTGGCTTACACGTACCCTAGCTGCCTTAAATTGAAGGAGAGGCCTGAGACAGTAATAGTTAATTCACGGATATCCTAAATGCTTCCTGCCCTTCCAATTTTTCAGATTAATAAAAATGTGAATTAAATTCAAGAAATTCCCCGCTACTCAGCTTTATTCAAGGGTTTCAAAGTTCACACCCAGGTAGAAAACTTCCTTTTTTGCCAGCAATTGTCCCCATCCTGTAGCTGAGATCTTGAGCTACTTAAAGAGGAGAAGGAATGAAAAGAAGAAAATTCTGATTAATTTCTATTCTTGTGTCATTACAACTATATTCTCTAGAATAAGAAATAAATCTTATAGTCCCTGACCTGGCAGGTTCAGTCACTAACGCCCAGGAAAAGCTAAGCTGAAATATCATCTCTCAGTGCTTGGGTGTTGCTCTTGAGTTTAACCTTCACTTAAGTTATTGTACTTACATGGTGTTGTCAAGGAAACACATTCTTAAACAAGACAAGGGGTGGGTTAAGGTTTTTCCAATTTCAGTTCTCACCTAGAATAAAGCTATTCTGCCTCTCATCAAACCCACCCTCAAATCCGTCACTCACCCTAAAATACAAGTCATTCAGCAGTACTCTGTTCTCAAACTTTACTTAGTAGCAGAACCCCCTAAAAATCACAGTGTTCTTCTTGGAATCTCATGAAAAGTTACCATATAAACATTAAAATCAATAATGATTCTGTATTAGATCAGATACCATCTTATGTTCTAATATATGTAAACAATAGCATATACCAAGAGCATGAAAAGATTTGAATGGGGAAAATGTTACGATAAATACTATCCCATCCTTTTACTTGACATTTTTACCAGAATAGATGAAAACAGTCATATCCAAACAAGTAACAGAACCCTCTGAGCATGAGTTTTTTTCTTGGCACCTTAACTTGCAAACTGATCAGTCACAGAGTCAGCCCTTTTACATGAACTTTACCTTTCAGTAGGATCCAAGACTCTATGTTTGGCAATGGAGAAGTGATGTCAAGTTTCAGGCACCAGGAGAAGAGGATGGTTTTGGATTTGTGGTCTGTGGTTAGTCCCAGAATCACAATGTAAGCAAGAAGAGGCATGTGACTAACAGCCAATGCCGCCATTCCTGAGAGCAAATCCTCCAGAGTTCATCTCATCCAGATGGTTCCACTGAATCCTGTCATCACTCCAGTGACTGAGAGGACCTGGCAGGAGTGAGAGGAGGGGGAAGAGGAAGATCAATACACAAGTACAGCAGAGACCAGGAAAACCATGGTCCCAGGTATTTCAAAGGCCCTGGCAATGCAATTCCTCACTCCCAGGGCAGCTTCTACACAGCCATGGCTTGTGTGCCACAGCCTTCACATCAAGGCCCCTGCCAACAGCCAGAGCAGCAAAAGCCAAAATTGCATTGATTGAAAGGTGGTTGACCATAGCTCATTCTTTTCAAATACTTTATTATGGAAAATGTCAAACGTAAGCCAAAGAGAACACTACAGTGAGCTCCATTACGCATCACGCAGCTTCACACTTGTCAATCCATATCCCCATTCACTTTCCTCACACAAACACTGCATTACTTTGAAACAAATTCCAAACTTCATAGTATTTCATATATAAACGTATCAATCTGTAACTACAAAAAAAGTTTTTTAAAAATATAACCATTATCATATTTAAAAAGGTTATAATTCTTCAGTATCATCCAGTATTCAGTCAGCATACAACTGTCTCTTATTATCTTACATATTTTTAAGTAGTTGGCTTAAGTTAGAATCCAAAAAAGTCCATATATCATATTTCATTTCTATGTCCAATATTTCCTTTAAACAGAAAGCGTTGATTATACTTAGGCTCAATTCTTTTGGCAGGAAGAGTTCATATATGGTGCTGTGTATTTCCTATTGTATCACATCAGGAGGTACCTAATGCCTGATATTAATATTGATCAAGGAGTCCAGGTGTCACCAGCCTACTCATCCATTATAAAGTTTCCTATCAGCTTTACAACTGAAGGTCTTAGCAGGCATTGATGTTAAATGCCTAGATCAATTATCTCATTTAGAATTGAAATATTGGGCTGGGTGCAGTGGCTCATGCCTGTAATCCCAGCACTTTCGGAGGCCAAGGTGGGTGGATCACCTGAGGTCAGGAGTTGAAGACCAACCTGGCCAACATGGCAAAACCCTGTTTCTACTAAAAATACAAAAATTAGGCAGGTGTAGTGGTGCGTGCCTGTAATCCCAGCTACTTGGGAGGCTGAAGCAGGAGAATCACTTGAACCGGGGAGGAGGAGGTTGCAGTGAGTCACTGCACTCCAGCCTGGGTGACAAGAGCAAAACTGTGTCTCAAAAAAAAAAAAAGAATTGAAATGTTAATATTTTAAATCTATCCTTCTCCTTTCATTAACTAGAATTTTTCTATAAAGAAAACTTTCAGCAAATATTTGTTTGCACTGAGGTACACGTAACACAGAAACAACAAGTTGAAGACCAGATTCTGTGGTCTTCAAACAATACCCTGCACCAGATTCTGTGCTCTTATTTACCTTTCTTCAAAATCATAGTTTACTTGTCTAGTATCTCTCAGAGGTGACCAATTATTTTTGTATGATTACAAATTCATGCATATTTATATCTTACATGTATCATTCACAGTTGTCTTTCTTTTGATTTTCAAACTGTTCCATCTTTGGCCAGTAGGAGTTCTTCAAACCAGCTTCAGAATCTTTTTAATACAATCTCCATTACCTCAATGTTTTCCTTGCTTTCTGATATGACAAGATTTTCCAGGCTTACCTTGCACAGTTGCTCCCCCAAAACATGGAATTCACTATTTCCACCACAAACTTAGGTTTCATATTGTGGGTGTTTGTATTTACAGACCACAATCTGGGTGCTCTATTAATGGTCTGCTCTAGGCCTTTTTAGTAGAAATTGCTGGGAAATATTTATTAGAAAATATATCAAAAATTTATACTGATATTTACAATTCAAATTTAGAATTACAGAGCTTTAATTTAACTTCTTTGATTTTACCATGGCATGTGTTTCTCTTATGTTGAAACATCTTGGTTCCTAATGACATTAACAATTTAAATTTCATTGCAGTTCTTCTCTTTAGGATAGACATATCCCACAAAGATGTCCAAATTACTGAGTTTTTAATGTCATTCTAAATAATTCCTCTTGATACAGTGAAACCACCTACATAATACACAGTTACGTTTATGTCATTTTTTTAATTTCTAAAAATTGCTTTGTTTTAATTTACATGATTTTAAAGCCAATTCTACAAAACAATGCATAGAAATACTTGTATTAGTTTACAGTTTACGTTTACATATGTATTTCCCCCTTTTACAGATACAGACAAGACCCTGCACCTTGATTTTATCACTTAAAAATATATCCTGAAGATCATATTAGACCAATATGCAGAACTATTCCTCCTCGCTTTACCAGTTGCACAGTTTCCATTGTGTAGGACCGCCATATCCCAGCAGATTATTTTAGCTATGGAAGGCCAGAGAGCTACAGCTTCATTCATAGGGCTAGAAACACAACAGAAACATGCAAACAGAAACCTCAAAACATGTTTCTCCCCATTTTTTTTCCTCCTTTGTTGTCACTGTGTAGTACACACTTGACAATTTCTACCCAGCAACCCAAGTCCTGGCTGTTTTCAGGGTTTACCTGTCCCATTCATAGTTTTGTGCCTCAGAGGAAGCTGACCCCATATCTGGCTCTGAGGATAAACCTGGGTTATCTAAGGCCAATTCCAATCCCCTTGGAAGGGATTAGTTCAGAAATGATTGTGTTTCTAGCCAATGAGACACAGAAAAAGTCTTCTAGAAATTTTCTTGAAAAAGGTACTTCACTCCTAAGGGAGCTACTGGAATAGAAAACATTTCTTCTGTATATTGAAATACATGAATGTGACTCCTGGAGTTTTCTGCAGCCAGTGGGAGTTCATCTGTCACCCTAGGGATGAAACCAACCCAGAAGATAGCAGAGAGAAGTGAAAGAAATTGCATCCTTGATGATATGCTGCCCCAATGAATCAACCAACCCTAAAAGTACCCTACTTCTAAGCCTTCCCATATGTAAGATAATCATTTCCTTGTTGGTTAGTTCAATTTGAGATGATACTTTCCACTGCTTGAGGCTGAGCCCTGAATGATACATATGCACAAATTTAGAAAATAATTGATTATTATACAAGCCATGAATTGTTCCCTCTTTCCCACATTCCCTTGTTTGGTTTACCTCCCTTGAGTATGTTTGGGGAAGGGAGTTTGCAGGGGCTCTTACACTCAGTTCCCTAATGGGTCTACACCTCAGCTTGTTTCTCTGCTACCACTTGACTTGGACTCACTCCTAGCTCTGGCCCAAGTCTCTAAGTCCTTTCCTTGCCTGGAAACACCCAGCCATGAATGTCCTCTCCCTTTACTCACCAAAGCAGCAGTGCTAATCTCTGAGTATCAAACTTTTATTGAAGTTTTGGGGTTAACGGCAACATATGCAAAAACAACTTCACACTGCATGTCAGCCATTCCTGTCCCAAGGAGTCCACTCCTCATTTCCTCCACATGGAATTTATCACTGACTACATTCCTTCAGAGATCCTAGCTTCCCACCATGTTACTGAGCCTCCCTCTCTTTCTCTCTCTACAGTACCAACCTTCTTCTCTTCCAGGTCCTCCTGCCATCTCAAGGTGCTAATGGACCACTCCAAAACTCCTGTAACTTTACTCCACAGAAAAGTTACCCGGTCTTTGTTTAAACTTCTATTCCAGTGATGCCCATATACCTTTCTTTCAACATCAAACTAGCTTGTGAAGGCATTTTCCTAAACGAAAGAATAATTTTTGCCTCTGAAAGAGGAATTCTGACTTCCTTTTAGGTCAACCTGCTCAAATTCAGCCAGCTCTTAAAATATTGGTTTTTCACCATGGCACATATATACCTATGTAACAAACCTGTACATTCTGCACATGTACCCAGAACTTAAAGCATAACAATATATATTATAAATCACTGGTTTTCTTGTGAGTAATACTGAAAAATGGGAATAATGGTACCTATCTTATAGCATTTGCTAGAAAGCTTTATCAGTGTGTAAGGCTGGCAAAAATATTTAAACTCTGTGCCTTGTTATTCTTCTTATCTGCAAAATGAAGATAAATAATACCTACATTGTATCTCACGAAGTTTTGTGATGATTAGAGGAATTAATATATGCAAAGAGCTTTGAACAGTGCCAGGTATACAGTAAGTACTCAACAAATGTTAACAGCTGCTGCTGCTATTATTTTATCAAACACCTTTGATCTAAAAAAGGTTGTTTGGACATGCTGGGATGGGGAGATAAGAGCACCTACAGCACACAGTCACTGTGAGGACTGAATGATACAGATGACCTGGAAGAGCAGCTGACATACTGGTGGCAAGTGAAGGCAGGCTCTTAACGCTAGGGGATTAGTAACAGTGGAATAGTGTGTGTAAAGTCCTGAACAAGGTAGAAGATCAATAATATGAGATACTATCATTTTGCTTCTCAGGGAGGTCATGGATGATGTTAGAGACTGAGGCAGGCTTAGGGCAGCTGGTGTTTTTTAAAATCCTGGCAAGAGGCCTCGTTCCAATTCCTGTATCATGTGTTATTGTTGTTACTCTTATTCGTATTATCAGCAGAAGTAGCAGCAATGTGGCGTGATGGCTGAGCAGCAGCTTATGTCAGGTATTGTGTTCATATTCTGGGGGTGAATAGACAGAGATGTAGCCCAGAGCTTGCTTATAAGGTGCAAACAAAGAAGAAAGGCTCCGGGCTTCATTGCACACTCTCAGTCGTTATTTACCCTACCTTGATTGCCAGTAAGGACTACGCCAGCCTTTAGGAGAGTTTGCTTAAGGTCAGCTTTCATTCAAGAAATCGAATCGGCACCCTACTAACAATGAGGGTCAGCAGGAGGTTGACAGCATGAAGCCCCCTACGCATGAGAGCTTCCCCATGCTACAGGAATGATAAGAAAACAGCATACCAGCCTTTTGTTCTGCTCCTTCCCCAGTTTTTCCTAGATCCAAATGAGCCAGCAAGCCTCACCAGCCACCCCAGGAGTTTGGAAAGAACAGGGAAGTAAGAAACCCAGAAAACAGCTTAGCCTTGAGCCCAGACACCAGACATTACCAAAGACATGGGGTCAAGGTAACTGGAGGTATTACAGTCCCTCAGGAGCAATAACAGGATATCGGGGAACCAGAGAGAGATGCTCTCTGTCCTTCCTGTGTAAGTGCTGAATTAGATAATTTTTATGGCATTTCCATGGAGATTTACAAATTCAACCTGCACAGATTAAGCAGGCAACAGCAGCAGGTGCACACAGGTGAGGGCCTAAGCAGCAGGGGAGATTGGGTGGGGGCCAATCACAGGCCACCTGTCCGATTTGGTAAGACAGAGCCAAGCCAGGCCGGGCCCCAAACCCATGGTGTGGGTATCAGGTTGTCTGGGTGACACACAATGTACACAGTGGACACTGGCCATGGGAGGCCTCTCAGAACATGCGGCTGGGATTATTCGGCCTCCAAATAGCAGGAAGTAAAACATCAAGGACTCGTGTCAACTAAACACTGAAAATTGGAGAAGATCTCTTGAGCTGTCTGCCCAGAATCTCAAAGGCTCCTCTCTTAGAAACAAAGAACCTGTGGAGGTAGTTTGCCTCAGGAGTTTGTCAGTCATTTTGCCAAAAACAGACACAGGAGGAAAGAGATAAAAACCTGATGCAAGGAAACCAGCTACTCAACGGACTGACCATTTTGCTTTAATAGAAGCCGCTTAAGAAAGAAACTAATTAAATGCACCTGCACTAAAATGATTACCTGGCTATTATCTGCCCACTCAGAGAAAGAGAACCACGAAGTTCAAAACACAGCAAGCAGCAGGCTTAATTGCCTTCTGTAAGGAATGGCTTTTGTTTTGCCGAGTGCTCCATCAAAAACACTAAGTGTTAATGTACCCTGTATAATCTAGCTGGCCAGCTAACTAGTTTAATCCATCACACACTATGTGAAAGAATACAAGCAGGTGGGTAGTGACAAGTTAATAGTCGAGGCAGGAAATAAAATGAAGAAATGCACTTTGATTGATGGTGCAGAACTATTAGGTGCTACTATGGATGGACTCTGTCTGATTTTATATAGTGGCCAATCAAAGCAAAATAGATCCAGTAATTTAAAACTTTAAAAACGTCCCCGCAATTAAAAATTTAAAAGGCCAGTGGATGTATTGCATTCCTATTGAACAATAAACGTTCAATTACAGCCAACTCTCCCATATCTACAAGCGTATCTACCATAACAAATCTCAATCTCTGCTCCTCATTGCCCTGATTATCTGCTCTGCCAGCCCAAACTGCTTAGTTACCAAAATCTCTACTTTGCCTCTATGTACAATCTTATAGCAAGTGTAGCTGCATGAAAGAGATGGAGCATTTTAAACCAAATATTTGGTTACCTTCTTTGTCTGCAGAGACTATGGGAGAATAAGATACACCAATCTTAGAAGATCGGAGAGATCTACTTAAGCTGATGTCTTATCACAGTCTAAACATAACGCTATCCATGTTTAAGACCATGGGAGAAAATTCGGAAGTCTCACAGAAAAGCAAGATGGGAAACATACATGGCTCTCCGGTACTTCTTATTGTTCAATACAGTGGGGCATGGTAGGTTCCACTGAACGTCATAAGTAAAGCTGCTGCCCTCTTGGTCTGTTTGGTAGCTATAGAACACAAATGGCCAATACTCTTATAAATAAGTCCTCACATATTAGAATATGTGGTTGTCTAAGAATTTATTCTAGCAATAGAATCTTTCTCTTCCTCTCTTTCTGTCTCTCTCCCTGTGTCTTTCATAGGCACATACATGATGTACATACAAGATGAATCATTGTGTTATCTTTGCAACAACAAAATATTAAAAACAACCTAATATGTCCATAAAGAGAGGATTGGTTAAATAACATATGGTACAACCAGCAATGGGATTCTAGCAGATGTTAAAAAAGGAGAAAGAAATAACAAAGATCTCTCCATGCTAACATGAAATTATCTCCAAGTCATATTGCCAAGGTTTTTTTTTAAAAAGAGCAAAGTGCAGAAGACTATATATACTATAATACCAGTTGTATTAAAAAAAAAAAAGTGTGGCTACCTACACACATGCACACACATGCTTGCTTACATATGCATAAAATACCTCTCAAAAAACAACATAAGGGCCTCATAACCTTGGTTGCCTCTAAGGCAGGAAACTGAGTGGATGGGGACAGGGATGTAGACACTTATTTTCATCATACATTTTCAAACCTTTTGCATGTTGAATGTGTGAATATATTACCTATTGAAAGGCAAAGAAATTGCCTAGCTAGCCCCCTTAATCTCTGCTCCCTGCTCTCATGCCCCTTGTTTCCCATCAATGTAATCACTCTGGTTTCTCTGAGTGCAGGCACACTACGATCCACAGGTTATTCTTCTGTAACCTTTGTTTCTGTCTTGTTGATCTGCATCAGGAATCACTTCTCATTAAAGAGATACCTCCATTAACATTTTTCTGTATCTCTCAGATCCAACTTGACGGTTTAATACCAAATCATCCAGCAATGGTTTTAATTATGTCCACCTGAAGGTCCAGAAATATCTATTCCTCAGCAGAGCCTCAGCTTAGCAGCGATTTTATGTCACTGACCTTTGGAATATAACTTATTTGCTCGCTGTAAAATACAGTTGATTCCTTCTCCCAAATATAACTTCAGAGCCTTGTATCAGCCTTCCAAAGCTGCAAACCTGTTGTTTCCCTCCAGTATTCTCACGCTCCACCCCAAAGCCCCTAAGCTCACTCAGTCCACAGAGGAGTTACCTTAATCAAACTCCAGGCAAGCAGAGAACTGAAGAGTTCAGTCCATTTCTGCTATCCCTTCCCACCGCCACAGGATATCACAGACTAGGACCAGTCCTGTCAGTTCCATCAGAGCTTTGAATGCTATAGTGATGCCTTTGTGTACTGTAGTGAGATACTAGAGCTCCCACTCTACACTAATTTGGTGCAAAATTATTGCGGTTTTTGCCATTACTTTTAATACCAAAACTGCAACAATTTTTGCACGAACCTAATATTTACTCTTATTATCCGGCTTGGGACATATTGCCAGAGGTCTCCTGAATGGGTCACATACTCATCAGCTCTGCTCACAACCTCAGTCTTCCTTGGAGGAGCTCTTTTTGTGCCTGCCTGTCTTCTGCCAATTGATCTACCCAACAGGTTTTCTTAACATAATCTCAGGAAGCAGGGGTTGGGGTCTCAACCCCTCCTACCCCAAAGGCTCTTGAATCAGGCAAATTCTCCACAAAGATCAGCTCTGTATGCTTGGCAGCCCCATTGAAGCTGCCTGGTATGCAGAGCTCCCCCATGCAAGGACGGTTTATTCACTTTCAGTTTGCATAACAGAGAGGGCTCGTGCAAATTACTGTTTCTTGAACAAGGAAAGTCATATACAAGGTGGTCTGCTGTTTCTACCCTCAGATGCAGCAGAGGGTGACATAAGCCCTAACTCTCACCCAATCCCACCCCAGATACTCCACTTAACCCCCACTTAATAGGCATACTTTTTAAAAAGCAATTGTAGTTCGGAACACCTAATTCATGATGTCACAGCCTATGATGAAAAAGAAATTCATCACAGAAGGTCACTGACAGTATTGAGTCAGACTTTCCATTTTTGAAATTTGAAATAGTATCAAGAACATGCCGGTCTACCACAATGATCTTCATAACAGGACAATTGGAATCGTTCAGTAGTCAGGGTGGTAGAGTAGAAACAGCATGAGTTTGGGAGTCTGACAGAACTGTGTTTGAAAACGGTCTTTTTAATTCATTTGCTACAACCTCAAACCACTTAATCCACATGAACTCCCATTTGCTCACCTGTAAAATGGAGATCGTTCTGAGGAATAAAATGATTCAAAGTCTATAAAACACCTACTCTTATGTCACAGGCACTCACATTAGTTCCTTTCCCTTAAAAACCCACCATCTACAAGGCCAATGTAATAAACTCTAAATTGGATTATATTAGAGGGATTTCATCCATTAGAAATGACTGTGCTATTCAAGGCACTGTGACAGGACTGCAGGAGACTCGGAGATGAAAAGGACACCGTGGCAAGCTGCTGGCTGAATGACCCAATGACAGTCACTCTGAACCACTTTCCACCTTCACACCATCCACTGTTAAAAGAATTAAATACCCACTTTACCAGGCTTCACTTCAGTGGGAAGTAGCCAGGTGCATGGCTCTCTCCAAGGAGATGGTAAGTCAAAAGTCTGCTAGCAGGTTTTTAAGAATCAAAAGGGATAGAAATGGCTGCTGCTCCCCTGCCTCTTCTTTCCTGCCCTTAATGTGAATGGCTGGAGGGAGAGCAGCCCTCTTGCAACAATGAAGCAACAAGCATGAGGAAAAGGCTAAGAGAACTGCAATGAAACTTGCCCTGAGGCCAGGCATGGTAGCTCATGCCTGTTATCCCAGCACTTTGGGAGGCCGAGAAGGGGCATCACTTGAGGCCAGGAGTTTAAGGCCAACCTGGCCATCATGGCAAAACCCTTTCTGTACCAAAAATACAAAAAAATAAGCCAGATGTAGTGGCACTCACCTATAATCCCAGCTACTTGGGAGGCTGAGCCACAAGAATCTCTTGAACCTGGGAGGCGGAGGTTGCAGTCCACGATCATGCCGCTACACTCCAGCCTTGGTGAAGGAGTGAAATTCTGTCTCGAAAAAAAGAAAAGAAACTTGCCCTGTTAACATTAAGCCACCAAACCAACCCCAGAAGTTACCTACCTCTGGAATTCTTATTCTAAGAAATAATTCAACCCCTATTTGTTTCAACCTCTTAGCAAAGTTTTCTGCTACTTTTTGCTAAACACAATCTTAAAAGACACAATGCCCCCTCAAGAAATCCTTATTCTAGTGGTAGAATAAGATACGTTTTCAAATTTCAGAAATACAAAGTAGGAGTCATAAGCATGGCTTGACAGAATATAATAAATCATATAGAAGTCACACCACATTTAACCAAATATTTTAGGGAATGATGGGAGAGACATTGTATGTTAAGTATAGTACTTTATTCCATAGTCAGCATTCTAAAATATAAGTACATTATTGCATATAGCTGAGCTCCTCAGGAAATACAAATGAAAGACACATTGCTTGGAGAATATCCAATTTTGCATATACTTCTCTTTTCAGTTATGTAAAAACCATAAGCAAAAGGATTTACAAGAACTGCGGAGAATCTGACAATGCCTAAGGTTATAAAGAGTCAGATTTCCAAATTTATGTCACAACATGCATTTGGTTTGCTAGTTTGCCAAGCATTTCTTTGTAAACACTACATAGGTATGATAAAGGTTCCTATTTGCTTAGTACTACAGATAGAGCAAATACATAAATTGAATAGGCTGCAGATATCTTTACTTACTGAATTTTTCTATTGCTATTATGTCACGTTGAGTTTAAGTGAAAAGTTTCGAGTGTATAGTATGTTTTGCACAGACTGTATCAGAAGACAGCTAATATAGCTGAGCTCCTCAGGAAATACAAATGAAAGATATATTTCATTTGTGCTAGTAACATAATATCTGAAATACAGGCATATTTTTCCAGTGATTTACTGCATAATTCTTAGAACAACGGGACACTAACATAAGTCTCATGCTTTAAAGCCTTTCAGTCGAGTTTGCATCCAAACTGGCACTGCATTACCATCAGAGACCTCACTAGGTCCAGAGGTGACAGAGCTGGCAGTCTATGAATGATAATTTAAAAATCATTGAGTTATCCTCAAAACACTAAAGCTCTGGTGCTGACTGGGGATACTGCTATCTGTGCATCTTCTGAGATGTCACTTAACCTCTCTGAGCACCAATCTTCTCATTGGTAACATTTTGAGATTAACACTTATCTCACAAGCTTATTAGAACTGTCAAAAAAGAAAAAGGTAGTGTCTGTGCCTTTTAAACTATAAAGTATGCCACAAATGTAGGGCAAGAACCCTTCTAGTTCCATGACTGAATCAGAACAATCTTGAGATGTATGTTAAGTTTCCTATGCTGCCAGTTAGTCTAAAAATCGCCAAGAGTATAGTCCTTTCCAGGAAATATGTGCTTCTCTGTTCAATGAAGTTTCAAAAACATAGGAGGTAGGAAATCTATATGTTTTTCATTTATGTATTTATTCAAGTAACATTTATTGAGTGCTGACTATTGTAATACTATACCGTAGCCCAAGGGCATAAGGATTAGTAAGATACACTTGCCTGATCTCCAGAAGCCCAGGGTTTTACAGGAAATACTAACCACAGGAGCCTGTAGATTATGATATACCGTGATGTAGATTAGTAATCAAAGGTGTTCAGGCAGTTGGTAGTCTTTAAAAGGAAATGAATGGAACACTTTGAATCTCTTAATTACAATCTGGGAGATCTGGGGAACCAGAGGGAGGAAGAAGAGCTGGATAAAGACAAATTTCCCTGTGTCACAGTTTGCTTGGAACCTGCTGTTCAAGCAAGGCTTCTCCAGGAGCTCATTTCAAGAGCTACTTTGGAGCTCCTTACATGACGTGTGGTCTTGGTCTGCTGAATCCCTGATGGCAACAAAGTCTATTAAAAGAGACCATAAATGATGAATTGTAGTAAAATCCTTACCCAGTTTTGATTGATGTATTCTTTGCTTTAAGAAATATTTTTGTGATTCTGTGGTCTTTTTGACCTGAGGTTAGGATTAGATAGCATGTTCCTCCCAGTCCTGAGCTGGAATCTTTCACCTCAACACAACCACATTCTGCTTACTGGAAAAGCGCTTCCTGGCACCGGTATTAAACTGTCAGTACCACAAGATTTTTGCAAGAAATCAAAGCAGATTTTATTCACTCAATAAACATTTCCTAAGGGGCTATTAGACCCCAGGCATTAGGAACACAGAGCTAGCTGAGATACAGTATTTGCCTTCAAAGTCCTTATAATCTGAAAAGAGTGACAGCCACAGGATTAAACCGCCCCCAATAAAATGCTAAAGAGGTCATAAAACAAGGTGCAGTAGAGGCATGAGGTATATAGAATCGATTCTCCCAGAAGTTCAGAAAACTCAGGGAAGGTCTGAGTGTTGAAATAGGAGCAGGTGTTCACCAAAGATGCAAACCTGTGGAACGATCGGGTGTGCTCCATGAACGGCAAGCATTTTCATAGCTAGAGTACGAGCTGTGACAGGACGTGAGGTGGGAGCCAACATCAAGGAAAAATTCGACTAACAAACCCTCTGGTGCTACACTAAGGACTTAAACTCAGTGGGGCTCTCCTGAAGGAGTTTCATCTGGTTTTAACATCAGGTGACTATTGAGGAGGGTGGCAGGCCTGTGCCTACCACAGAAAGGTGGCTGACTGCTCACTACAGCAGGAGAACATTTCCAAGCTTTCACTACATTTCACACCTAAGATTCAGAGACCATATCAAAAAGAGCAAAATTGAGATCACTGATTAGGTCTCCAAACCCTGAAGAAATGGCTCTTTTCTTTTTTTTTTGAGATAGAGTTTTGTTTTTGTTGCCCAGACTAGAGTACAATGGTATAATCTCGGCTCACCCCAACCTCCACCTCCCAGATTCAAGTGATTCTCCTGCCTCAGCCTCCCAAGTAGCTAGGATTACAGGCATGTGGCACTATGCCTAGCTAATTTTGTATTTTTAGTAGAGATGGGGTTTATCCTTGTTGGTCAGGCTGGTCCTGAACTTCCGACCTCAGGTGATCCTCCCACCTTGGCTTCCCAAAGTTCTGGGATTATAGGCATGAGCCATCGCACCCAGCCAGGAATGACTTTTAAAGTGCTCACGTGTTCCAGAAATAGGCAAAGATAAAGCACCTTCCCAGCTGTTCCCCAATCCAGGAACTTCTCCTGGTAACTGATAGGAGTGCAACAGAATCAATCAGGAGTTCAGTGCAAAGGCACTGCTGCTGGACTCACACTGCAGACTCAGCCATCCCATAGATCACAGAGGAAACTGGAGACTATGCCAAGTGACTTCGAAGTCATCAGCTTCTCTGAAAGAGAAGAACAACTTGAAAAAAACGGTTCTTGAAAAAAAGCATTCACTCCTTTCAGGGCAATCTTTCACCAGAGCTCTCTAAAAGCAAAGTCCCTCCCACCCCCACACCAAAAGATTTGGTGCAAATATAGGGTAGGGGGCAAGTTCTGGCTAGGACTCTGCATGACGGTCTTTTTTGCTAAGTGGCTTGTAGAAACTCTAGGGAAGTGGCTCATGTTGAATTGGAAAGCAGAGCTTGCTGCTTTGTGGTGTGTGCTGGCCTCTAGTGGAGGCCCCATCCTCAGCCCAGTTCTCATTCAAAGACAATTAACAAGGTTGATCAGGCTTAAGAACATTTTATTAACAGTTACACTAAGAGATGGGGCTCTTTACTCTGCCAGTAAGTTAGGAGGTAAGATAACAGTCAAAGTAAGAGAGATGATAGCTAGATAGACAGACAGACAGATAGATAGATAGATAGACAGACAGATAGACAGACAGACCGACAGATAGATAGATAGATAGATAGATAGATAGATAGATAGATAGATAGATAGATAGATAGATAGGTAGATAGATGATAGATAGACAGATGATAGATAGACAGAGAGAGAGACAGACAGACAGATAGATAGATAGATAGACTGACAGATAGATAGATAGATAGATAGATAGATAGATAGATAGACCGATCGACCAACCGACGGATGGACGGATGGACGGACGGACAGACAGATAGATAGATAGATCTTACAATACCTGTGCAGCAGGTATGAATTCCTTAGGCCACAAGCTAAGGTGAGGAAATAAATGTATCTTTAAAATGCAAATCAAAACCACAATGAGATATCATCTGACAGCAGTCAGAATGGCTATTATTAAAAAGTCAAAAAAAAAGCAACAGAAGCTGGAGAAAAGAGAACAAATGCTTATATACTGTTGGTGAGAAATGTAAATTAGTGCAGCTGCTGTGGAAAGCCAGTGTTTTAAATCTCAAAGAACCTAAAACAGAACTACCGTTTGACCCAGCATTCCCATTACTGGCTATGTACCTAGAAGAAAACAAATCGTTCTACCAAAAAGACACATGCACTTGTATCGCAGCACTATTCACAATAACAAAGATATGAAATCAACTGTGGTGCCCCTCAATGGCAGATCAAAGAAAATGTGGTATACATACCATGGAGTACTATACAGCCATAAAAAGAATGAAATCGTGTCCTTTGAAGCAACATGGATGCAACTGAAGGTCAGTATACTAAACAAATTAATGCAGGAACAGAAAACCAAATACCACATGGTCTCACTTTTAAGTGAAAGCTAAACATCAGGAGCTAATGCACATAAAAAGGGCAATCATGGAAACCAGGGACTACAAGGGGAGAGGAAGGGCAAGGGTTGAAAAACTACTAGGTAATATGCTCATGCCTGTGTGACAAGTTCACTTGTACCCAAAACCTCAGGGTCAAGCAATATGCCCCGGTAACAAACCTGCACACGTGCCCCCAAATCTAAAATAAAAGCTGGGGAGAAAAGAATTTTAAGTGCTAAAAAAAAAAATACATACATACATAAATAAGTGCCTTTATTTTTATATCATTTCTACCTCAAGCCCCCTTTTCATTGGGTAATAGAAGCTTCATCTTGGACAATTTAGGATAAATACAGGCAACCCAGAATGTTCGGTCTACGCTTTTGTCTGGAGCCTTTGCCCCACTGAGCACGAGAAGGTGTCTCTTCCTCCATCACTGCTGCCTCTCCACAGAGGTATCCCCTAGATGGGTGTGCCTTGCCAACGGTGCCAGTAGCCTGTGTCTTTTTGCATCTATCCTGGAAGTTTCAAGCTCCCTATGTGGCCACTGCATCTGAGTTCTCTTCTGGTCCACTGGTCCTCTCTCAGATAGGCGAGAGGCCTTCCAT